CTAAAAAGAGCATCTGATAAACCTTGTTGTTTTCCAAGTCAATATCTGATCTTAAAATCAAAACTTGATAATGACATACTTCAATGGATTTGGTGACGATTCAAAATATATGTTGATGTAAAATACTTGAAATTCTTATGTTCTATATATATTGTGACTGGACTTGAAGTGCCTTCAAGGTAATGATGCCATTCATAAAATGAATCCAAAATTATAAGTTCTTTGTTGTGGATCTCATAATTAATCTTGGCTGCTGAAAATTTCTTGGAATAGAAAGCTATTGGATGGAGTTTATCATCTATTCCCATTTGACACAATATTGCAACTAAAGCAAAGTTGATGCATCTGTTTTCATAAAAAATGGACATGATAAAAAATTGGTACAAAACTAAATTCCTTCTTAAAAGCAATAAATGATGTTTCGACTTTTTTTTTCCACTCAAGTTTTTCTTTACAAGTCAATTGTATAAGTGGAGTTACAACTTGAAAAAAGTTCTTGATAAAGATTTGATAATAATTGACAAAGCCTAAAAAATATTGCATATCTTATACTGTTTTTGAAATCTTCTAATCTATAATAATTTGGATCTTCTTGTGATCCATCATAAGGCCTTTGTTAGAAATGATGTATCCTAAAAAATCAACTTGAGTAATATGGAATACACACTTTTTCAACTTAGCATATAATCTTGCATCTTTAAGTTTTTGTAGCATGTGACAAACATAAAGTTCATGTTCTTTTGTTTTCTTAGAGTAGATTAGAATATCGTCTAAATAATAAATGATAAAATCATCTAAAAACTTACAAAAAATATTATTCATAAGATATTGAAAAATGGTTGGTGCATTCGTGAGTCCAAAAGGTATGATATTATATTCAAAATGTCCATACCTAGTTCGAAAAACAATCTTCTATTCGTCATTTTTTTGATGCAGATCAAGTTATATGCTTTTCATAGATCTATTTTTGTATATATCTTTGCTTAATTGAGTTGATCAAGAAGTCCAGAAATCAAAGGTAGAGGATATATATTCTTGATAGTGATCCTATTAAGTCTTCAATAATCTACACACATTTGCAGAGATCTGCTTTTTTTCTTCACAAATAAGATAGGAGCATCAACTGGAGATTTAGAATGGTGTATAAAGTTCTTAGCCAAGTTCTCATCAATATACTCTTTGAGTGTAGCCAATTCATTTTGTAATAGGCTATAGATTGGTCCAAATAATGCTTAAGTTCTTTCTTGAAGATTAATAGTACAATCAATAGGAGGATGCTCTACAATAATATTTGGATTTTTTTTTTTTTTTCAAAAACGTTCTAGAAATCTTGTTACTAGCTAAGAATACCAATTGTATTCTTCTCACCATCAACAATACGTATGGCATATATAGCAAAAGATGGCCCTTCTTTTGCGGCAAGTATGAAAGCTCTTGCACCTACTAATAAAGGTTTGGATGTATTAGACTTATGAATTTCTACTTGCCTAGTAGGACCTTGGATTAAACTATGGGAGAAATCAAGATTGTAAAAATTCTAGTCTATCTAAGAATTATATCTTTTTAACCATGATAATTTTAAAATAATTGAGTTAAAAGAAAATTTAATCACATTAAATATTACTAAACTAATGTGACCACTAATTACTACTTCTACAAGAATAATTTCATGTGTAACATCTCTCAAAGATAATGAATGTCCATCTATTACTTCTACATGCACATGTTTGATTTTCTTTATTAATGATATATCTTATTTTTTGATAAAGTCTTCATCTATAAAATAAGTTGAGGCTCCTAAATCCAATAAGGCTAAGACTTTGTGATTTTTTGATTCTAAGCAAACTTCTATAATAAAACAAGACAAAGAATTAGATGAGAAAATAGGACCTTTACTAGATGTTGCATATAATTCTAGCCAAATGGTCCCTATTATAGCTGAAACAACTTGTTTTTTGACACATTGTCGTCTTTTGTAATTATGCTTCTCATTTTATAATTACATTGTTTCTTTGGATAATATTGAGTAGTATGTTTAGCTTCTCCACAATATAAGCATAAGCCTTCTTGATGTTGTCGACTCTTTTTCTGCTCTGTGAGGAGTTTAAAATGTATTGTATCAATTTGTATTGATTCAAGCTTTGATAAATAAAAATTTGAAAACTTAAGAGCTACCATCATTATTTGATTTATTTCTCTCTAGCCATATCTTTGTTCTTGACATCTTTCAAATAATTAATTGTCACATGCAATAGCTTAAGCAATAAATTATTCCAAAGATTTTGTCTTTGACATTGTCACTAACAAGTCTTTGATATTATCCTTCAATCCATATTAAAATTGATTAATAAGGGCTTTGTCATTCCAATTCATATTACAAACATGGTTTTGGAATTTAGTAGCATATATGGTGGATGACCATGATTCTTGCTGTAGAGATAAGAACTTGGTCTGTGCTACTCTTTCTTGAACACTTTCTCTAAATAAGGCTATAAACACTTTTAGAAACAAATTCAAATCATAAAGGAGTTGCAAATCTTTTTTCAGTAAAGGTGCAAACCAAAAGAGAGTACTTCTGATAGAAGTGCATCTATGAATCCAACTTGAGTAAATCCATTGGAATATTAAAAAAGATCCAATCTTTGATGGAGCTTGATTTATAACAAAAATCCTCGAAATATTGATCTTGTTCCATCAAACTTCTTAGGCATACTAATCCTTGTCCACATCGTACTTGTAGAAGCAAAATTTCTTACATTTGATTATGAGGTCAATCTATTTGCTTCCTTCAATTGCACAACTTCTTGTCATAGACTCTTAACTTCTTCCATAGGCGTAGGCATAGTACTTCTATGATTCACATTGAAAATACGTGAGATTTTTACTCTTAGAGTGTTGACAAGCTCATGAAGATCTACAATAGTTAGAAAATTATTTTTACTTTTGCTAAGAATAGTATCCATAATCTTTTCTTCTATAGACAACTCAAACAAATTTAAAAAATTAAATTAGATGAGGATAATCTACAACCTCTAATAAAAAATTTCACAAAGAGGGATAATCCACTCTCTTTAAGAAAAAGATTAGTGTTAGAAAAAAAGATTTTTTTTTTAAAGGTAGGTAATCTGCAACCTTTAAAATACAACAATAGAAGTGGGATAATCTTCTCACTTCTAAAAGAAGATAGAAACAATATATTAGTACTTTTGTCAAATTATCAAGGATATGAATCTCGAAGAAAGAAAATCCTTAATACACTCTTATATCTTTGAAAGGAGTTAGTCACTCAAAGATGATATAATATTGAATTAGAATGGCTATTGCCAAAAATAAAAAAACTAAAAAATCTTAAAACAAGACTAAAGATTAGAAATGCGTTGACAAGAGTGAAGAAGGCTTCAGTCTTGCTTCCATATATATTCTTAAGTAGGAGCTATCTGGCGATGTCGTGTAGGACCTCTAAAACGTGTTGACTTTGTAAGAGACATGTCTTAACTTACAAAACAAGTTTTTTATGTGTGCGCTACATAGTTAGCTTGTTCCGCAAGCTACCAACATGTGGTTAGCTTGTTGACCAAGTTTCTAACCTACCAATCAACTACAAACACATGTAAAGTCAAGCAGCGTCTATGAAGCTTCTATGAAGCTTTTCTAAAAGATCTTAAGAAATTAACCTACTTTTATCTACTTTTACCTATTCCTATCTAATCATATAAGTATTTATTATAGTACTTATGTATGTTCGTGACATATAGAAATCCATTACAATAATATATATATATATATATATATATATATATTGTTAAAAAAATAATTTTAAAAAATCTATATTTATATTAAATTTAATGAAGTAAAATAATTGTTTGATTAAAATTTTTACTCATAGATTAATCATGTTTGAAATTAATATAGAACTACTAAATTCAAGGTGTAATTTTTGGCATTTGACAACAAAATATAATCTTTTGGTAATTTAAATTTTAAAAGCAAGAACTGCTAAGAATATGACTACAAAAATTTAATAATCTAAAAAATATAATTTCAATAACCAAACATAATTCCTCAATCATTAGCTAATAATCAAAGAAATTGCAACTAAAAGATAAACAATGTGATTTTAGAAATTGAATTTTTATACATTTAGTTGTGAAATAATTGTGGTTTATGTATACATTATGAACATGTGCAGGAAACTTTGGATGTTGTAGGAAAATGTCTACGTAATAATGAAAGCAGAGATAGTGAGAGAGATAAAGAAATAAATAATAAATAACTAAGCCGTTAAAGTGAAATAGCCCCAGTTAAGATAAGCATGAATGGGAGGCCTCACTATTCAAATAGCGGCTGAGCTCATCCCGAGTCGGGTGGGATGGGGTGGCTGGGGGCCGCCTTCATTCCCTCTCCTCCTCCCTCCTTCATTCATTCATTCTGTCTCGAATTATGCCCCCCACACAAGCCCCACATGACCTATAGCCCATACTAAATCAACGCCCACACTAAATCAACACCCACACTAAATCAACGCCCACACTAAATCAACACCCACACTAAATCAAAGCCCACACTACCACAACCACTCCATACTAATTCAATAACCCATACTGTAACTAACAGCATACTATAAACACATGCAAACTGGCAAACCATACAACAAACCATAAGAAGATGATGATGATGATGAATTCTCTTTCTGGCTGGGCTTAGGGTGAGTCTCTCTATCTATCAAGTTCAAAACAAATAAAATGTAAGTCGTGCGCTGTGAGAAATGGAAGGTTGGGATTTAGTTTTGGTTGGAGGAGCAGAGGAATTGTGAGTGCATTGTTACGGAACTCGACCACATTCCTGTAGAAGATTTCACACAAACTAACAAACAAACATTTGGAATTATGTTTGCGACAGACAGGCAGGGATTCTTCTCTCACTCTCTCTCCCTCTCGGTTCAGGTTCAGGTTCTGTCTGCAGGGGTGGTACTGCAATGGCATTCGCTTCTTCTTCCTCTTCTTCTTCATACACACATTCTCTACTCCACTCCACTCCTCTTCATTCATTCTTATTGTGATGGAGATAAACACATACATATTCTTTGTGATATATCTATATCTATATATGTATCAGTATATTAGACTCATTTATTTATTTCTTTATATTGGTTTTGAATTTTCCCTGCTTCCATTCCTGCATTAATCCCTTCGCAAATGGCAGGTATGGGTATAAGAGAGAGTGTGTGTGGAAGACGAGAAGGGGGGGAGAGGGCTGATTTTATTTAGGCTCTCACCACAGAGATTGTGGCCATTCGGTCATTTGAAGAGGAATCCAGCGGAAGGATTGTGTCGCCGCAGTAGCAGCAGCAGGGGGAGGCAGGAGGGGGTGGGAGCTTCGATCCTCGCCTTGCAAGCTTGCAGCAGCTTGGACTTTCGGTGCACGGGGAGCTTCGACAAAGCTGGAAGCAAAAGCAGACGCAGTAGGAGCAGGAGTTTTTGGCTGCTCCTGGGTCTCCTAGGGGAGTGGCTGTTGCAGGTAGGACTAGCGCTGGTTCTTCCCCTCCAGTTGAATGCTTGGTGTGGAATGTGGAATGTAGAATGTACTGACGAAAGTCGGTTGTGAGATCAAGTGTGCGACGCTACTCGCTCGTTTGAGATCAAGTGTTCGACGTTTCTCGCTGTGGGTCCGTTGTGATCGTGTTCCTGTGTCAGCTTCTGTTCTTCGTTCTAGTTATGTCGTAATATGTTAGTCGCGTATCTGTGCATTTGTCGTGTTCTTGGAAACGAGCGAGAGTAGTGCGCGCTGCTACATTTTGTGAGAGATGCACATTGGGGTTCGAACGGTCTTCAACCTACGTACCTGTGTTGCGCGGATGCTAAAGATCCCTTACGAAATATTATGCTAATCAAAGTTCTGATAGGTCCCTGAATGCATTATACTACCAAGAAGAAGTTCCTACGTTTCTGACTCATGCGTGTTAGATCCCTAGAATTGCCCTATTCTTGCGCGAGAAAAGAGGTCATGCTCTTATTGAAGAGGGTGCAGAATCGTCAGCGAAGTCATACATTTGTTAGTTTTTCCAGTAAGCTTAAATGAAGATTAGCCTTAAGCTAGGTTTCGAGCGATTTGCGAGAGAATGTTCCTTTATATAAAATTCTCTGCTGTTTTCTATCCTGACGACTAAAGTTTATGGGACCTCCGACTCCTTTTCTGTCGCCACAGCCTTAACGTATTCTGTATACTTTATTGTTCCAAGGGAGATAGAAAGACAATTACTGTGAGGCATGAGGGACTAGAGGATGTCTAAAGGAGCTTGAGAGCGAGTCACCAACTTATCATTTTGGCTGTGTTTTTCAAACATGAGTAAATTGGGACGATTAAATTTGCTTGGCCTTGTGCTTTTGAGTCTTGTGTAGGTTCTGTTTCATATTGCACTTGGGAAGTTACGATGATTCCCTCGTTAACAGAAACCTAATCAAATAAATGGTGTGATAGAGTCGAGACTTCCACCGGTTTTAGTTCAAGAATGAGGGCAGGTCTATAACCATGGCATCTATGTCGCGTATACTTTTATAATCTGCTTGTCTGAGCGTAAGTGTTAAGAAATCTTTTTCAAGGAACGAGAGTAAGTACGAAGCAAGTAATTTCCTAGATTGTTCGTGAGTAGCTATATCATTCTGGTACTTGTGGGGCTCAATACAAAAATGTTTATTTTTTTATCCTTGTTTTATTTTATTTTATTCTACTTTGTTTTTTATACTGTTTTATTTGTTTGAGTTATTAAGGTAATCTGAAACTGCATTGGCCGTTAATAAACAGGAAAGGTTACTTGAAACGAAAAGTAGAATGAGTGAATTCAGTGAGACGAGTAAAATGAAATGTAAACAAAGTTGTTTGCATATATAAATACTTTACTTCCATATTGATTAGGAGTTTAATTGTTCATGTGCACACCGTTTTTAAGCCCTCTTCAATTCGAGGCAGAATTTCAAACTTAGCGATTGTCTATTTTTTTAATTTAGCTCGAACAAGCAAGCTACCGACTCAAGTCATGAGGATGTGTGAATGCTACACGTTTGATGATTCATTTTTGTACGTTTTTTGTTTTTTGTTTTTACTATACGTGATATTAATTCGTAAATCAGATTTGAAGTTCCCGACAGGCGCTCTTAGCGTGGCACCACTGAGTACCGTTTTGTCTCCCCGCAGCATTGAGGCACCAAGCATACTGGAATACAACGCTCGTCATTAGATGCAGTATCTGGAGTTATACCAGAATTCGGCAGTACCAAGCTGGGGCCACAAGTTCTGAATGAGGCGTTTGGTACAACGTTTTAATTTACCACTGGGACCCCCTCCTTTTACGTCCTTTGTGAAACAGAAGAATGCCTCAAAATTGATTCCCTTCATACTACCCACTACTGCTTATTTAGTGCAACCAAGTTTTTTTACAGCAAATTTGCGATCTGAGCAGCTTTCTACGCTTCGTGCTATGGGGTCGCTTCCAGAATCAAATGGGAACCTGCGACCCAAGCTTGCTTTTACAGTTCCAACTGTGGGCTCCCGTCAGAAACCAGATGCGATGCCTTATCAGTTTGAGGTCGTTCCATTGAAGTCTCAGGCGTTGCCGCCAATTTATCCAAAGGTAGACAGGGACGAGACGTGTATAGACAACTTACATGGTCACGAAGTTGCCGATCCTTATCGACCGTAAGTATCTCCCTCCTCTTTAGACTAAATCTTCGTTACTAGTCTTACTGCATGTAGATCAAGGTAGCGTCTTCAATATGCGCGTGTTACACAAGCGCTTCTATCCTTTATTCGCTTTTTAACTCTTTGAGGGTCTGTGAGATGCTAATTTGGGATGGAAACTTCAGTAGCAAACTTTTTATCATTTGATCTATTCGATTTTTTCAGAATACGTGTAGCTTTTACAATCCGACTACCCATTGCGTAATCAGATTCTGAAATGATATGAGCAGATTGGAAGATCCGAAATCAAAGATAACTCAAGACTTTGTGGAAAGCCAGGTGCAATTGACCAAGTCTGTGCTGTTAACATGTGACACGCAAGAGATGCTAAGGGAACGAATTACTGCTATTTATGATTTTCCCAAACATTCATGCCCCTACAGGCGGGGAAGCAAATACTTCTACACTTACAATAGTGGACTGCAAGCTCAAAGCGTACTTTATGTGCAGGTAGAAATTTTCCTAAGCTTTTAAGCGTGTTCTTCCGTGGATCACATGTAAATCATCAAATAATTGTTAAGCATTTTTCTGTGGCAACGCGTGCTTTCATTCTGGTAGATCTTTCGTCGACCTGAGTGCATCTATGATGCCAGGGAAAATTATCTCATCAAAGGCTTTTTCATTGTGATATTTTACCGTTGAATCCATAAATTGCTGAAGCTGTGAAGTCACACTCAACATAATGGTTGATTAGTCTTTTCAATATCTGTACAATTTATACTAATTTATGCATAGCTTAGTAATGGGTAAATAACAGATTAAGAGCACGAGTGCTGGAGGCGTTGAATGTGGTACATGAACTGAGGTTCCATCTAATAATTCGTTTTCAACCTTGTGGAGGGTGGTCACAGAACAAATTAGACGAAGACGGGCAAGTGTTGTTGGATCCGAATACGTGGATTCACGATGGCACTATTTCCTTGGCACTCACGAGGTTTAGTGTGGATGCTAAATACCTGGCCTTTGGACAAAGCGCCAGTGGAAGTGACTGGGTCAACATCAAAGTGATGGATGTGGAAGTTAAAGTTGTGCTACAAGACACCCTTTTATGGGTGAGGTTGTACTATTGGCTTTGTGAATGATTTTTACTGCTGTAACCTGAGTTCATTACCTGAATTCCTGCAGCATTTCTGTAAAATAGTGTGATATTCCCTCCTGGTGTGATAGAAGAAGTGCTTTTTTGGGGGTGGTCAACAAACTCCGACATATTACTTCATTTCTTCATCATTTGATAATATTTAAACTGGGAATTTTAGAATTATTATGGATGTCTACCTTGTTGTGGTTACCAAGGATAAAGCCTACAGTGCTGGTGTAGGCTGTACAAGAATGTGTAGTAAGCACCTTCTTTTATTGCTGTGCAGGTGAAGTTCTCATCCTTGGCGTGGACGCATGACAATAGAGGCTTCTTCTATAATCGTTATCCAGAACCTACGTCTGTCCCTGTACCTTAAGAGCTCATGTTGTGGTGTAGGGAACCTGAGCTTATGGCATTTTGTTGGAAGTTTTTTTTATCTCTCGTATCGTACTGACGCACCTTTACTCTAGACTGATATATCACGCTGCATGGCAGTAAGGACAGCATTGAAGACGCAGGCACTGAGACAGAGACAAACCTCTTTCATGAACTCTATTATCACTTTCTTGGAACTGATCAATCTGAAGACATATTATGTTGGAGAGATTCTGAACATGCCCAATGGTTATCTTATGCAGAGGTTACTGACGATGGTCAGGTAATTCTTGGAAACTTAGCTATGCCTGAGAAATCACAATACACGCACACTTCTATTGCTCTTGGCTACACATCTGTTTGTGATATATGTTCTTAAAGTAACGGCGAGATCTTTTTCTCAAAATTAACAGCATTTTCATTAATTTATTATTAATGATTATTTCTCTTTGTAAATGATAGATGTTGAAGTTAGAAAGGGGTAATGATGGCTGGACATTGTCTTTTGGAACAAGATGTTGACCTTTGGCTATGTTGCAGTACTTGGCGTTATCTATTGAAGAGGGTTGCGATCCAGTCAACAGATTATACTACTGCGATCTCTCCGCTTTGCCTCACGGACTAGAAGGGCTAAGACAAAATAATGAACAACTTCCATTTGTAAAACTCGTCGATAACTTCGATGCCCAGTATGAGCTGGTTGCTAATGAAGGATCTATTTTCACTTTCCTAACCAACAAAGATGCACCCAGGTACAAATTGACAAGGGTGAATGTTGAAGATCCATCCTCCTGGAAAGATGTGGTACCGGAATCGAAAACTGATGTCCTCACATCAGCTGATCTGGTTAACAAGCAGCAGTTAGTCCTATGTTATATGAGTGACGTTAAACATCTGCTCAAGTTGCATAATCTTCAAAGTGGTGCTATGCTCCACTCACTACCGCTTGAGATTGGCTCTGTGGCTGAGATTTCAGGAAGACCAGAAGATTCAGAATTTTTTTATAGTTTCACGAGCTTTCTCACCCCTGGAACTATCTACCGTTGTGATTTGAGCACCGGAACTCCTGACGTGACAGTCCTAAAAGAGACTAAAATCGCAAACCTGGATAGGTCATTGTTCGAGACTCGTCAGGTACACGTTTCATCCTTGTATTTTTATGCTTTCTTCTTTCAAATGTGTTTTTAGCATGTTGCTTGTATAGTACTTTTCATTTCAGATACATCTTTAGGCTCTTTGCCTAAGCTCTCTGCTTTGGCGTACTTTGAGTTTTATCATCCAAGACTTTCTTGGTGACGGTGGTTCGAAACGAAATTCGTTCATCAGAATCTGGAAATTCAGGCTTAGAGTATCTGGCATAACTCAAACTGCAGGTTTTTGTGCCAAGTAAAGACAAGACCAAAGTGCCTATGTTTGTGGTTGCACGGAAAGGCCTGGTCTTAGACGGAAATCATCCAGCTCTTCTCTACGGGTATGGAGGCTTCAATGTCAGTTTGACGCCATCTTTTAGTGTATCTCGACTGGTGTTGGCTCAGCATTTTGGAGCAGTCATTGCAATTGCTAACATCAGGGGAGGAGGAGAGTATGGGGAAAAGTGGCACAAGGCTGGCTCTCTTGCAAACAAGCAGAATTGTTTTGACGATTTCATTGCATGTGGCGAGTATTTGGTAAAAGAGGGTTACACTCAAAGTAAAAAGTTGTGCATCGAGGGTGGGAGTAATGGAGGTTTGTTAGTGGCCGCCTGCATCAATCAGGTGATTATTTTACTTGGTTTTCTTAGGCTCTAGGTTTAATAGAATCCTATTTGATATTGCTAGCTTATTCTACTTGGTAGGTAACATTCTGGTTCACTTAAACACACATCGAAATTTTTGCACTTTGTTCACAATTTTCATCGTCATCTACTTTGCCTTTGTTTGTGCAGAGGCCTGATCTGTACGGGTGTGCCTTGGCACATGTTGGTGTTATGGATATGCTCCGATTTCATAAATTTACTATCGGTAATGCTCTTGTACTAGCTTTATCATAGTTATTTGTATTGTATTGGATTTTTGGTTCTCTCGTTTTTTTGCTACCTATGTTTTTAAAGACTTCGTTAGATTACTTTGGAGCTTCTACTAATGCCGACGTTTCTTTCCCATGATCAGGCCATGCATGGACTTCAGATTATGGTTGTGCTGATAATGCAGAGGAATTCGACTGGCTAATCAAGTAAGCATTTTTGCATATTACAAGCATTTAATAAGTGGGTTCGAGTTTTTGTACCATGTGGTCATAAAGAATGTTTTTCGGCCTGACACTGTGCTTAGGATCACTTCATATTTTCTTTGAAATTTGTCAGAATGTGGGGCAATCAGGTTCAGTGAGTGGTTTTGGTCCTATCTTATCCTAACATGTGTCTCCTTTTGTGTAGATATTCGCCGTTGCATAACGTGAAGAGGCCATGGGAAAATGGCTCAGAGTCTATTCAGTATCCTGCTACCATGCTTTTAACAGCAGATCATGATGACCGAGTGGTTCCGCTGCATTCTTTGAAGCTGCTTGCAGTGCGCATTCTTTAAACCCAAGAATTCATTACATTAAACTTTGGATATTTTGATAACCTTATATCGTCCTTTCACACTAATCTCTTGGACCTTTTTTTTTCATCGCTTCCTAATTAGATGTCTATGGTTGTCTGGGAGACAGACATTGCAATACGAGCTTTGCACAAGTGTGGAAAACAGCAAGCAGACCAATCCAATAATAGCACGGATTGACACTAAAGCTGGGCATGGATCTGGTCGCCCAACCAAGAAAATTGTAAGTTTTAGAACTGGCTTTTATTTCATGATGTCTCAACTCGCATCATTTGTCCATGATGATGCCCCGGCAATGCATAAAAAGGAGCACTTTCACAATCAATCTCCAAAGTGTAATAACTGTAACCCATCATTGTTAGAGTGGTTCATACATATCATAAGGTGGTGAATCACTTGCTTTTCACCAGTTTGTCACTTGTCTGATTTCCCGCACTTCATTGCTGCCTGTGAAGTCCTCTATGGGCAGATTATTGGGGTCATTAAGAACTGAATCAGCAGAGAATAACGTGAAAATTGTAGTCATCAAATTTTATTGCTTTTCTCAATTTTTAAATGTAATAATGCTTATGACATCATTGCCCTCTCCAATTTATGATGCAGTACTGTAATTTTGGATTTCAGCAGGATCATTTGAAAACGCTTGTTCGGGTTGATATATGCTGACATCTAGTTTATTGTGCAGATAGATGAAATGGTAGATGCGTACTCCTTTTTCGCAAAAATGACAGATTCCAAATGGGTTGACTGATAAGGTCTTCTTATTTCCCTTCTTCCTAGCTCTACATTGGAGATTAATAAGTGTGATGTTGAGGTAAAGGAAACAATGTACTGAAATGCTGGGACAGACTTTTATTTTATTCTCACATGAGAATTTCATGCAGCCTTTTATTTCATTTACGGTTCTTATCTCTCTATTAAATTTTTATTAAGGTTCATTATTAGCCGATGGGAAGCTCATGATAGTCAAATGGCAAACTGAACCAGAGGTTGGATATTTATGTAGACAATCTTAGAAGACAGCATGAAAGAAATTTGTCTGACTATCAATTTACCTTCTTTAAATTGATAGTCAATGCTCCTGCATGAGTTGTTAGATGTGCATTACTTGTAACCATGGAATAAAAGTTCATTTACTTCTGAAAGTGGTAATCATGAAAAGGAAGATGTACATTTTGTTTACCTTAAGCTTTTCATCAAAGTTGTACATTATTTCATCTGTTAATATGATGGTTGACTGGATCTGCAAATTCATATATATATATATATATATGTTTTTGAAACAAAAGAAGAAAAGATTTCATTTTCCAGGGATTTAAATACATAGCATCCCAGCTGCAAGCAGCCTAAGAGAAACCTATATATGATACAGACCAAACTATTCATTGACTGACTGGACTTAGGATGATCTTTTTTTTTGTTTTTGGCACAAATGAAAAAGATTTCATTGTAAGGAATAATCAACACATGGCTAGACTAAGATAGAGTTAAGAAATCTAGCCTATATTGGGATTGAATTAGTGATTTGACATCTAGTTATATTACAATCCAATTAGTTGGGATACTATGGTATTATAAGCTAATTCTTTTAAACTGCCATCTCATTTGTTTACCAAATTGGATATAGAGGATTTTGTTATTCCTCCATGTCTATCAAATCTTTTAAACCAAAAATCCATTATATTTTCTTCATTTGGCAACATTTGGCTGAGTTTGATCCATTTGTTGCAACAATAGTTTTGAAGCCATTGCCATATTTTGGTTGTGATGCATTCTATTAGCCATTTCTCTTTGTAAAAAGCCATAGTGTTATGTTCCAATCATAACTTCCAAATAATAGCTCTTCTAAATAGTGTCTAGATTAGTTTGAATTTGTTGAATTGTTGTCATATTTTGTGAGGTTTGCTTAAGAATGCATCAGGCACTTAGCTATGGAAGATAAAATAGAACTTCCAATAAGAAGATCCTAACAACTCTAATAGAATTCTAAACAAATTCCAATTAAATTATAACAATGTTAATCAATCTTTAATTAAATTCCAAAAGAAGTCTCAAAGAATTTATAGAAAAAACATAAAGAAATTAAAAATTAATTTTAAAAGAATATATATAATAAAAAAATCCAAAAAAATATCAAATAAATCTTAAACAAATATTAAAAATAAAAATCTTAATTGAATCCTAATCAAATCTTAATGTAATCTTTAACAAATCCTAAAGAAATCCTAAAGAAATCCTAACCAAATTCTAATCAAATCCTAACAAATTCTAAAGAAATCCTAAATTCTTATCCTGGACCAAATCTTAATCAAATTGTAACCAAATCTTCGACTAAACTCTAATGAAATCTTAATTAAATCTTAATTAAATCCTAGACCAAAGTCTAATCAAATCCTAAAGCTTCCAAAACCTCTTGGATATTGGCTGCCTTCTTTTTCTAACTTGAACATTAATTTTCCAACAAAGATTTTTTCTTGCTAAACCATTAAATTGCTCCAAAAAATGGATGGTGTGTAGATATTTAAGTCTAAATTGTTCTCACTAATTAATACTTCAATTGAACCAACAGATATTATAAGTTTGCAAAAACTCTCACTAATCCTAAATTTTAATTATTTGAAACCATAATCCTTAAAAACTCTTACAATCTTCAATCTAATTACTTGATTGACATTAAATTTCTCACACACATTTGCAACAAGCACAATGACAAATTGACAAATTTTCACTTATAAATATTCTACAACATTCACAAAATCATCAAATTTGTATTTTTTTTTTTTTTTTTTTTTTTTTTAAATCTAAATCCACAAAATATATCTTTCACTTTGAAAAGCTCTTAAAACCTCAATATACCTTCAAATCATATGTTTGCTTATACTAAGTATTCTTCTAATTAAAACAAAAATTAAAAATAATCTAATCCTTCCATTTAGTATTATATAGGTTAATAGATAATTCAAAGTTACCAAGTTACTTCTTAATAATTTTTGGTAGGAGCATCCAAAGTTAGAATATTTCTTGACAAGCTAAATTTATTGAAGTTAATGTTGAGACTAATCACCAAATCAAAGTAGAATCAAGTCTTGTATTTTTTTCTTCCTATGGTTTATTCAATAATCTGTACTTTATAAATGATATAGTTCAAATTGTCATTTTTTTATAGAACTAGTTACATTGCCCATGTAAGAACCTACCATTGTCCTCAGCTATAGTTGAAAATCAAGGATTGAAGAGAGCGTTTGCATGACCTGATTAATGTACAATATATCATTTGATAATACCTTAGATGATATTTGAATTTCTTGTTTGCATATAAATTAGTTTTTTTTTCCTACATGGTAAACTACAACAAAAGTGTGACTAAATTCTAAAAAGAAGAGGCTAATTTATTCATTTTTTATAGATGGTTGAGGCTTGTTGGATAAAAGATTGCTATATATGCTTGTGATGGTATTGTACATGATCTTCCAATCTTGTTCTTTTTCATCTAGTATTTAAAAATTAATTTTTAACTTTGACCTTAATAGAAAATTCTGATTGATGGTCAACTAATAATTTGTAATTGTCTTTATACCTATTTTATAGAATTTTACCACTTGAATTATCAAAAATAATGAAAAAAATACTTAAAGTAAATTTCAGACCATGCCATAATCCAATATTCATAGCCATCTCAAATGAATATTTTTGCTTCTATACTATATGAGAAGACACTTGTTTCTAAGCACAATTGATTCTATTCCAAATTTTGGAGTTGGACACACTTTTATATTAGATTACCATGCACCATCTTAGGTTTGATGGCCATTGGCTGCCTTTTTTAAGTTGAAAACATGGTAGTTTATATTTGAAGAAGTTTTGAAGATTTGAATTATTAAGCACTAAGGCATAGATGATCCATTTATTAAATAAAGCTATTGCAGTGTCATCTAGATTTGATAAAATTAATTTTTATATATATATTTTTTGGTGCATATTTTCCATTCTATATATATTTGAGTCCTATATTTGTATCTTATTTATAAATAGTTCTTTAAAAGGCCCTTAATTTTAATTTTTTTTTTTTAGAACCTACCCAAATGCTTGTAAAATACTAGAGTGTTGAAATTGATACTTGGTTAATAATGAGGCATCTATCAACTACAAATAATTTAGTTGTACTTCAATACTTGAGCTTTTGCTTTATTTGATCAATGAAAAATTTATCAATATTTGGTATTGAGAGTGCCACTTCAAAAGAAGTGTCTAAAACTTTGGCCATATTACCTTCTTCTATCCACTTCTAATCATATCTATTTATCTATGCAAGTAGAAAATTCCTTTTTTTCATTTACTATGCACGTGATTTAGACCAATTAATCATAAAGCCAAATATTTTATTAAATGGATGTAAGATTTTAACTAAATGTGTCACCAAGTTTTTTTTGGCTTATAAAGTGAAAGAGGTGTCATCCACATATTGTAAGATAAGTTGTTGATTTTTTGAGTTTTATAGCCATATTCATCTAGTTAATCCTTCCTATTGCAATGGACATATTCTTACATTCAATGCCTTTCTTACTATCAAAAAAATATATAGGGCTATTAAACACCTTCAATATACACTTCAATTGATTGAAAAAGGTATGGTTGCTTGGCCATTAATATTAGCCATTGTTTCAATGCCTATGAATGTAATCTTGACCATAATTAAAAATTCTATTAGAAAGCCTATCTTAGATATAGTTGCAAATAAGAATTGCTAGTTGACTCTATCATATGATTTTAAAAAAATCTGATTTCAAGAAAATAGATTTTTTTTGGTTTTCTTGGCCTATGCGAATGTTTCATGGATAAGTAGTATATTATCTAATATATATCTATTGAGAATAATGATACTTTGATAAAAATTGATAGCTTCACCTACAATATCTTGAAGTCTTGTATAAAGTGCTTTTACATATATTTTGTATGCCACTTTGAGAAGTGTAATGGAGTCCTAATTCTTCAATTGTTTCTTATTTCTATCTTTAGATATTAGAGTTTTCAAGCCATTGATGACATTGGATGGAAACAAGCCTCTTCATATTGCCTCTTTCATTAAATTTGAATAATTTGCCCTAATAAGCTCTCAATATTCTAAGAAAAAAATGAGAGCTATTCCATCTAATCTTAGGATATATTCTTTTGATATTACATTTACTGCTTCATGAAGTTCAAGTAGTTGAATTGGTTTCTTTAAATCCTCCACTATAATTGGAGTAATAGTATGTGATATGGCTGACAATATTTTTACCTCTGTTATTAATATATCTATATTTTTAATATTAGCCTCACATAGGGATGTGAAGTAGTTCCTACAAGCTGCTGAAATGACACTATTACCTACAATATGAATGTTATTAGGGCCACATAGCTCCAAAATGGTGGTCCTTGCTAATCTATTATGTACGACAAAAACAAATTCCTTTGTTGTTGAATCCTTTTTTTTTTCTCCATTAAAGTCAAGCATTAATATGACTTCCTTCTAGTTTATAGTTTTTAATAAAAATGAGTTCTTTACGGCAAATTTTTCCTTGAATTTGTAAAGGCCTATTATCAAGGTTGATTTGCAAAGTCTTTTGTGCTTAGAATAGAATATTTTAACATTTTTTTCTCCCTACAACTACTTTCTTCCACTTTCTTTTTAAAATAAACTTTATACCACGTAATAAATTTATGCATTCTAATAAAAAAGTTAGAAGATTGATTTTGATCTTTCTTCTATTACTTCTTTCACTTTTGGTGCTTATAAATATAATATGCTCATTTTATAATTTCTTTTCTTTCTACCTTTGTCTTATAGCATAAGTTCCATATGCATTGAGAGGTGATCTAAGATAGTAGAATCTCCTTATATGACATAATTTTGCATCATATTTATAAGATTTAAAAATTGAGTAGATATAATAACAATTTAACCTCCCTAAAATTTGGCATCTACCTTTATGTCTATTATCTTGTGAATATCTTAATTTGCCATTAAATTTAAATGGTTCTACAAGTTGAAGATTTTCAATAAATTGCTCCAATGTATTTTTTTCAATTCCTAGTAAAAGGCAGCTATAATGACAAGATTTATTTTAACTCCATTTAACCTTATTAAAATCCCCACTAACTTGCTAACAACA